CTGGTACAACTCAAGCAGCAGGAAGTACCGCAGCTGGATGTGCTTCGCCCTACCCTCCAGCCTAGGCTCCTAGTACATGAGGATCATGGCCTTGTTATCAGCGAACAAGACTGAGGCAGAGCTAGGTAACTCACATAAGTCAGTGAGCAAGAACGTTACTCAGCGAAGCTCCTGGGTAACCATAGTGTCAGCGTATCTCTCTGCCTCATTGTTGGATTGTGCCACCAACGATGAGCGAGTCAACTTCCACGAGACAGCTCCGGCGCCAAGACTGAAGTAGTAGCCCTGCGAGTACCTGGGATTCTTGATATCGTTTGCCCACGAAGTGTCAGTGTGTCCCGTGAGCGCTATTGGCTGTCGTCCTCCAAGCACAAGCCCCATGCCTAACGTACTAGCCAAATAACGCAATATCCTCTTATCAGCCGACTACTGCCCAGGTCGATGTCTCCTAGTTGCAACAAAGTGAGCAAGAATGCTAAGAGGATATGAGAGGTCTGGGTGAGTGCAGGTCATCAAGTACATGAGCCAACCCTACAGCTCTGCGTACTGACCACTGGGCTCAACAGGCTCGTGGAGACAGGGGCCAAGAGCTTATGGTCAACGCGCAGAGGAGTGGGCTGTGCAGAGGAGAACTGAAGGCCGAAGCACTGGAGAAGAGAGATGCTTTGTCCCTGGTGATATGCAGGCCAAGATAGCGGTGCACTTCTCCTAGGTCAGTGCAAGCCATCTTCTCAGAAGCTTGGCCCTCACCGAGGCCAGTGCGACTTCGTATGGAATAGCGTAGACCATGTCGTCCACATAGACCAGAATGTAGAACGGATAGAGCCTTAGCGGACATGAAGAAGCAGAAGTCAGCCAGAGTAGTGTGTAGTATGCCATGCCACTCATAAGGAGCTAGACGCAGACGGGCCATCGAAGGCTTCACTGGGTCCCTAGAGGAAAGGACCCAGTGAAGCCATGCGGGCGCATGAGGAAGATTTGCTGTTCATATGAAAAACACCCAACTCTGATGGATCTCGAGCTCGCCGCCATGGATTTCTTCAGGGTATTCAACCCAGCATTTCGTGAAGCACACGTGTCAGTTTGCTTTAAGAACCAAAGCTTAGTGATCGCATCGTCGCGAGGAATCGATTGGTACATTTTAAATGTCCATCAGGCGGACATCATGAGTCATGCAACTTCAATGCTTCATTATCTGATATCCTGTTGTCTATCCAGCGAGCTAACCAAGAGAACTCCTTTCATCATCATGATTGGCCACACTTACTACATGGCATGATCAAGGCTACTGATTGTCATCCGCCAGTTTCATTAGCACCAACACAACATCTACACCAGGAATACTGGTCCTCTGAAGGAACAACACGGCTATATCAACTATTTGGGCTCAGGTGTCCAGCACTTTTGGCATTTCTATCCTTTGCAAGTTATCAGCCGCTGGATCCCTTTAATCATTGCACCATGGCGCGTGCTCCTCCTAAGGAATGAGCACCACCGGCGCAAAAGCATGCTGCTACTGCTGCTGCTGCCTCAAAATCTGCTGACAAGGGAAAACAAGTGGAGAACGATGATTTTGTTGAGCCGGTCATCTCAGTACCAGGGAGTTTGGGGTTGTCACTGAAGGAAAAACTCGCTGCGCTTACCTCTGCTCACTAAGAAACGAATGAGTTCAGTGACGACGACTCTGATGATGAGCTCGGGTTTGACATCAATAAGGACTCAGTCGCAAAGCTTCGTTACACGGTTATCCTACTACTCCCGTTTATCCTGCAGCAAGAAATAGCTTCAGTCATTGTGACAGTACGGATGTTGCTGAAGCGTGTCTGGTCTTCCCTTCTCTTTGATTGTGCTAACACTTAAGTTGACTTTCAGGAACTTTTACCTGCTTGCGTTGCAAAGACGCGATACAGCCGACTTCAAGTGTCATTCTTGAAAGAAGAGGATGCAAACAACGTGCTTCAAGTGACATTGGATTACCAGAAGGCGAATGGTACAACTCATCGACTCTATTGGTTGCACACCGAAGACTCAAGCGTTTGCAAAGGAGAAAGTGACCAACCAGCGTGCTACTGAGGTGGTTTTTAAGGGCATACCTGGAAGAGATGCTGGTGAAGTATAAGCTGAAGACCCATCAAGTCACGCCGTTCCTGGAGAGTCACTACTTTCACCGCGTGTTGCATCCAGTATCTGGGGCTGACACGGATTTTATTAAGGGATTGGTGGTCCCTCACCCGGAGGACAAGAAGCGGCGTTGGATCCATCAAGTTAACCATCCGCTGGAGCACGGCAAGAAGCTTATGGTCCATTATTATGTGCTCTCCTGTGTGCTATGTGGGGGTTGAGGCGTGCTCTTGAGGCGGAGTAAATGCGCAGGCAGATGGGGCGGACGCATTGACTGGAAGCGGGCAGTTAAAATACGGGAGTCGCTCGTCACCCCCAGTCGACCGAGAGACATTCTGCTGAGAATTCACAATTTAAACCTGCAAGTCGGGGAGGGGCTCACCTTTCTCAGCAGCAAGCCGGTGTGCCCTTACTGCGACAGTTTTGAAACACTGGAGCATTGCTTCTTCGAGTGCCCAAGAATTCAAGTGGTGGTCTTAGCGGTGAAAACGGCCTTGCACATAATCAACCACACCAAGCGGTCGGCGTTGCTTGGCGATTGGCTGTTCGGGAAAGCAGGATCCACGTCAGAGTTCCCGGAAGCATCCCTGATAGCCATCGCTTTGCATCAGCTGTGGGCGGAGCGGTGTGAGGGTGCATTCCGTGGCTGTAAATTCCGCACGAGGCGAGTACTGCGGAGGATTGAAGTGGCCCTGCGCATGCATGTGAACGTCTATGTGCGTGCCTCGGCGATGAAATTGCAGCAAAGAGGGAAGAAGCAGCAAGCCAGATGGCATGTGATGACATATCAGGAGCAGCGCCTTCTGAACCGCATCCATGAGGTGGAGGGCAAGAGCTGGCGGTGGTCGAACAGTTTTGCAACGATTTGGGGCAAGCCACACAAGCCCCGGACCCACGTGTAAGGATCGGTTCTCTGAGGCAGGCCCCTTGCTTCTCACGCACAGTTACGACTGTTTATGTGTTGTACACTTTTGTATTGGTGCATAACTCATACAAGCAAAAAAAAAAAAGAGAGAGAAAAAAAGAGGAAGATCTGCTCGTGAAGGCTGTCGTGGAGAAAGGCAGTAGAGAAGGCAAGCGCATGAAGCTCGTAGTCGCGTTGCGCCACGATGTGAGTGGTCATCTTCGAGGTGGGAGAGAAGGTATGAAAGAAGTCGACCCCCTCTTGCTGACTAAAGCCTCTAGCACGTAGCGAGCCTTGAAGACAGGCGACTCTCCAGCTGGTCGCTTCACATTGATGATCCATATGTCATCAACTACATTTGCTTTAGGAGGGGGAACTGCGTCGACGTAGGTGTGACACGGCCGCGGAAGGGCGGTAGTTTGGTTGCGGCTGTAGGCGCGGCAGTGTCGAAAAGCGCGTTGGCTGGCGCGGCGACAGGTGCGGCAACATGCACGACGACAGGCGCGGAGGCAAGCATGGATTAGGTGCGCGTCAGTCGCACGATACGCGTGGCAGGCAGGCAGTAGACACTGGCGCAGCAAGCTCGATCAGCGACAGCGCGGGCGCAGCATGTGTGGCAGGCGCGGCGGCAATATGCATGGCATCAGGTCGCGGCGGGTTGCGGTAAGGCGCGGTGGGGCGCAATGGCGGGGTGCGACGGGGCCTCTAGAGGGGGCCACGACGGGATGCTGGGGCGGGCGGGCTAGAGGGGGCCATGAAGGCACGTGAGCAGCTAGGGAGGTATATGGTACGAAAGCGAGGAACCTAATATGATATGATAACATGTCAAGAACATATTTATTGACTAAAGAGGGAAACAAGGGACAACCCAACCTAGCCTACACAGTACATACACAAATATTTATGTGTACGTTCACTCACCATATACAAATCCAAACATTTCGATTATCGGGCAATTTCTGTTGAGTAAACACTCTTCTATGAGTATTTACATGTAGTTTTTCCAATTTAACTTACACATGTAGGTTTTTAAACATACGGTATTTTTTTCTTACACAGAGAAATATTTTATGTTCTTATTGCCTTGCATATGTCCTACTAATGTGCTCTAAGTGGTCAATGTATGAGCATTAGATAAATTTATGTGTGGATAGTTGCGTGAAAGAAATTGTTGGCACTTCTAGAAGCGTAGATCACAATGTTCTAGCGAATCCGGGGGTGGAAACCACCGCTACTTTTTTGCTTTCATTTGTGCGTTTCCACTTCCTCCTTTCCTTCCTCCGAGTTCCCTTCGCGCTTCCCCCTCTGCCCTCCCTCTCACCTTTTCTCCCCACCTCGCCCCTAGCTTCTTTCTCTTCTGGCGTTTCTTAGCAGGCGCTACTCTACTCTTTGACCAGGCGTCATGGCTGTCGGGTAGGTTGGCCCTAACCCTAAATTATCGTTCTTAGGATCTACGGCGAGGAGATTCTTTCATGCGACAAGTTTTAGGAGCAGCGCGATGCTTTTTCATTGCGCCTCGTCATGTAGATTCTTTCTTCCCGTAACACTGGCCACGTCTGTCGAACGCTTGGCAGGGGGCGTTCGTTCTCTTTCCGCGTAGCTTTACCCGGCCGCATTAGCCTCTCTCTGCCTCGACTCCAGTCGCTTCCTCCTCTCATTTGTCCACACCAGTGCTTGAGTCTCTCACTCTGTCTTGCCTGTCTTCCCGCCGACACTGGCTGTTCCTCGCCTCACCTAATAATGTCGCCCCTCTTGACTTCTGCACTTAACCGCACTGTACCGCCTTCGCATTTTCCATTCTCAGCGACCGCCCTTAAGCGCAGCGTGACTCGATCTCTCACCACCCACGGTCGTCCTCGATTGTGTCTTCCGCTTTAGTATCCCCAGGTCCAAATCCTTACACTCGTCCACGTGCACGCGGTGCTGACGTTTTTTCGTGGATTCTGTTCTCCTCTGCGTTTTCTTCAAATGGCAGCAAGAACAAGCGTATTTCCAAGGGGAAGAAGGGAGGCAAGAAAAAGGCGTAAGTACCCGCGATACAGCACGTCATATTCTTTCATTTGTCCCCGCGCCGTGCGAAGCACTGCTAACACAATAAGCCGCTTCCATCTCATTCCGTCTCGATTACTGAGAGTCTCAAGTAGTCGCATTCCGTTCCGTCCATGTCATTTCGCGCCAATCGTTTACCCTCGCATTCAACCCGTGGGTCGTGGTTCGGTTTCGTGCAGCCAGGATCCCTTCGCGAAGAAGGACTGGTACTCCGTGAAGGCGCCCTCCATGTTCGCCACCAGGAACGTCGGCCAGACCCTGGTTACCCGCACGCAGGGTACCAAGGTGAGCCAGCCTGGGCCGGTGCAGCAGTGTATTGTCACGACCGTTCCGTTACAGTCGTTATTGTCTCACTAGGCTCGAAACACACAACCTGTTGCCAAGCCTCACCCCTCATGTCACCCCTCGTGTTCCTCCTCGCTGCGCAGATCGCGTCCGACGGCCTGAAGGGGCGCGTGTTCGAGGTGTCGCTGGCGGACCTGCAGGTGGACGACGAGCAGTCGTTCCGCAAGATGCGCCTCCGCGCCGAGGACGTGCAGGGCCGCAACGTCCTCACCAACTTCTGGGTCAGTGCTTTGCGCGCTCATGGCCTTCTCGTTGCTTGCTCCTTGCGGGGCCGCGACGGGCTCAGCTTGCTACTGGCCGTACGGGGTCGAACTTGAGCAGCCACAGCGCCATCACGCGCACAGAGTTATCGCAGCAGATTAGGGTTTTCCGGAAGTAAATCAGGGTGGAGCATCGCAAGGGAAAGTAGACGCGGATGGGGAGCTTATCGTGGTGTCTCACTGGCAGATATATTTGGGATCTGCACGGGAGGATATCGAAACACGTGTGGATTATGTTGGTGGGCTTTAGATTCGGCAGCAGGTTCCCCGTATCGTCTTCGCAAGGAGGACTAGGGAGTATTTTGGAGGGGCGCGGAAGCATTCGAAATTGCGTGTGGCGCACGCTCGTAGAGGAGCGGAGATAAAGCAGGGCCATGGGAAACACTCCCACCAGGGATATAACAGTCACACGGCATTGGAATGGTAGAGGGTGGTAGTGGGAGCTGTGTCGGTGCATGAGCAGCACAGGCCGGCCTGCGAAGACTAGGGTTTGCGCAAGTACGATGCTGTGTGGTAGCAAGGTGTTAGGCAGGGTAGGTGTCACCGTATCAAGGAGACGGGGCTCGTCAGACGGCCCGAAATCCTTGGAAGCTGGACTATACCCCCTTCGGCCACTCAGCCGTCGGGCCCTCTCTTGGCAAATACAGTATTTGTTCTCGCGTGTGTAAACCGCGTCGCCGGCATGTTGCTCGACTCGCCCCGTCGCGACTCTTTTCTCCCCGTCCCTCTACCATGAAACGCCTTTTTCCCCTCTTGATGAAACCTTCCGTTTCTTCTCTGCCCTTCAGCCCTTCACGTTTCTCGCAGTTACCTGCTTCCTTCAGCTGTACGAACTAGAACCCTCGTTCTTATTCCGCTTCATCTTTTCCCATTCCCCTACTGTTCATCCGCTCGTCCGATTTTCTATCCCCGTTACAGGGCATGGACCTGACGACTGACAAGCTGCGGTCGCTGGTGCGCAAGTGGCAGACGCTGATCGAGTGCCACGTGGACGTGAAGACCACCGACAGCTACACGCTCCGCCTGTTCGCCATCGCGTTCACGAAGCGCCGCCAGAACCAGATCAAGAAGACCAGCTACGCGCAGAACAGCCAAATCCGACAGGTCAGTCGCCGCGGCGCTTGACGAGACGGCCGGGGAATTCGTGCAGGTAGCGTAATAGTCTGGGCCGTCGTGGTGTTTGGGAAAGTGCGAGGGTCCGCAGCAGTAGCTTTACGGACTTGGTATCTAATTCATCACACGACACAGCGATCTGTTTCCCAAGGAAGAGGTCGAGGACGACGAATCGTGTGACCCATCAGAGTGTTTCTGGGCACGGGTATGGGGCTAGGGATGGTCATGGGGACGAGGTCGAGGACGAGAATTCATGTGACTGGTCAGCAGTGACAGTAGATAAGCCTCGTCCATGCAGTCGCCCCCCTCTATACCAGCGAGTTGTGTCCGGCGCACTAGTCAAACAGAGCTCGGCCCATCCCATGGCCTTTGTTCTGCCGCGTGACGCCCACAGCGACGAGGTCCCTCGCGGACTAGCGCCAGTCGACGGCCCGCAACCCTGCCATGGCAGCCGGCCGTTGACGCTGCTCACAAGCATGATTAGGCATCGTGTCACTGACGCTGCTTACGATCATTCCCAGGCGCCTTTGTTCTTAAAACGAATTGTAGCTAGGCGCTGCGGATATCCTCGACTCCCTGCTAACCCCTTCCTCCCGTCCTCTTGCCATCTAACTCCCGCACCCCCACCCCGACCATCTCCCGTCCGCGTTACAAACAGATTCGGAGGAAGATGCGCGAGATCATCGTGAAGGAGGCGTCGTCGTGCGACCTCAAGGAGCTGGTGGCGAAGTTCATCCCCGAGAGCATCGGCAAGGAGATCGAAAAGGCGTGCTTCGGCATCTACCCCCTCCAGAACACTCTTATTCGCAAGGTCAAGATCCTCAAGGCGCCCAAGTTCGACCTCGGCAAGCTCATGGAGGTGAGGGGAAGGGGGGACAGGGGGGAGGGAAAGCACATGGAGGGGAAAGGAAGGGGAACAGGGGAAAGGACATGAGGTGAGAGGAGGTGAGGAATGAGGGATGGCTGGGGGAGAGGGGGGTTGGAATTTCATGGATGTGAGACAAGGGGGGCACGGTGATGGAGGTTAGTGTGTGCAAGGAGGCGGAGGGGAGGGCAAGGCTGAGAGGGGAAGAGGGGGTGTGACATGGTAGCCCATGGACGTAGCCCCCCCACACCCCCCTGGTGACTGAATGCACATGGACTTGAGCAGTGAGCCAACTTGGCATGACAATCAATCTGTTGTTGCGGTGCCTTATCTTGTGCGTTGCTATGCTGCTTCTGTGTCTGCCTGGGGACTACAGGTGCATGGCGACTACAGCGGGGAGGAGACGGGCACCAAGTTGGAGAGGCCAGCAGAGGAGAGCGAGGCGCCCGCTGCTGAGGGCATGGAGACTGAGGCCACAGCGTAAGAGAGCGGTGCAGTGTGGTTGGTCTTGCATTAGAGCACACTGTTGTGTTATGATCATCCAGCTGTTGGTTGATAAATAGTGAAAATTCCACAAGTAATGCACTAAGTTCAAACAACTGTTAGATTACACGCAAACCAGTGGATGCAGACATTTTGAGAGTAATGCATGTGTAATAGGAGGTATTTGTCAAAGAGAACAGTTGAATGATCTAACTATGAGAAAGTTGGGTACAAGTACTAACCCTAATGGGTTATAACCTTTATAGGCTACCCCATGATAGCCTAGAGATAAGCTAACACAACAAACGGTCACAAGACCAGTCAAAAGACATAAGCAAAGCTCATGGTGGATCTCAACATCACTATGCAGTCCGAGCACAAGCAAGTGGCCACAAAGCCAGTTCACATGTAGAGTTTTAAAAGCACAAGCAGTACAGTGATCACAACCTAGCAAGAGAAAACATGCATGCAGGCAGGCTCCACGATATCAGGGCAAAACATCCTGATTACCCTGAATTCATGATGCATATTTGAATTTGCCTTGTAATTTCAGAATAGTGCCAGTTTTAACCCTAAGCTCTCAGGATGCTATTATATGAAATGCCCTGGAAAATCAGGATGGCTGTGGTGTTCTTCCCTGTAGCGGCAGGATGAATGTCGAGGCTTGCCCCGACGTGTTTTTGTTTCAAGGGGGAGGGAGGAGAGGGGGGGGGGGGGGGGAGTATCGTTTCCCAGGAATTTGTTCCCCGGAAAAAATTCCCCTGCGGATTGCTTTCCGCCTTCGCCACCCCCTTGCACTTCCGACCCTGTGCAACGCACCAACCAAACGCATCAGATGGGGGAAACAGGGAACACTCCCATCTCGTCGTGTGCCATGCTGCTCTGCTCTGCTCTGCTCAGCAGAGTCTGGCCTGGTATGTGAACCCTGAACTCAGTTTTTTTTGCCCTGACAGGTCAGGATTAATGTATGCAGAAGCCCTGAACATACAGGAAGGCTTTGAAAAGTTGCCCTGACAAATCAGGGCATTTTTTTAAGATTTTATAAAATTGCCCTGGGGCCTCAGGATGCCCCAATTCCTAGCACGGGCCCTGCATGCAGGTATATACCGTATATATATATATATATATATATATATATATATATATATATATATATCACATTACAAGGCAAATCCAAGAGGTAAACAAGTGAGGCAGAGTAGGCACAAGGTCTAGAGCAGTATAGAAACGCTGATGATCACCAGACAGAAGGGCCTTAGTGAAGATATCCGCAGTGTTGGCCCGAGAGGCCACGTAAGTAAGACGGAGCTAACCACGCTGCTGCAACTCTCGAGTGAGAAAGTAACGAAGAGCAATGTGCTTCGTTCTATGCTCCAGACTCTGCTCCTGACAAAAGGCAATCATGGCCTTGTTGTCGACGTACAGAACCGGAGGAGAACAAGGCCGCTCACCAAGGCCAGTCAGCAAGTAGGTCAGCCAGCATAACTCCTGTGCAGCCATAGCCCCAGCGTAGATCTCTGCCTCACAAGTGGAACTAAGTACAGAAGACGAACGAGTGGACCTCCACGAGACATAACCAGTACCGAGACTGAAGGAGTAACCCTATTACGACTGGTGAGTCGCCTGGTCGCCAGTCCAAGAAGCGCCAGAGTGCCCATTGAGCACAACTCGACCCCGTCCTCCAAGCACAAGACCCATACCTGATGTACTGCACAAGTAACGAAGTACCCCCTGCGCAGCCTGCCAATGCTCAGGGCGGTGTCTTTTGGGCGCAACGTAGCGCGCCAAGATGTTGAGAGGGTACGCGAGGTCAGGCCGTGTACACGTCATCAGGTACATGAGGCAACCCACAAGCTCTAGATGCTTACCACTCGGCTCTACCGACTCGTCCGAAGGTGGAGCTGACAGTGAGTGGTTCGTGGCCTGAGGAATGGCCTGTGGCGAGGAGAACTGAAAGCCGAAGCGAGAGGGACCTGGTGCACCATGTGCGACTGACTCAGAGTGATGGTGTGCCGTGCTCTGTCCCGGGTGATCTGCAAGCCAACATAGCTCTGCAGCTCACCCAGGTCAGTGCAGGTGTGTCTCTTCTGGAGCTCCGCCTTCACAAGGGCCAATGCCTCAGTGTCAGCAGTAGCAAAGACCAAGTCGTCGACGTACACGAGAATGTAGAACGGCGGCAGAGAAGGGTCGGTGCGTAGAAACAGCGACGGGTCAGCAGTCGAAGGAGCAAGCCCAAGAGCCGCAAGTGTAGTCCTCAGCGTGTCGTGCCACTGTCGGGGCGCCTGGCGGAGACCGTAGACTAGCTGCCGAAGGCTCCACTGGGTACCCTTAGGAAACGACCCAGTGAAGCCAGGTGGGCGGCGCAGCCAGATCTCCTCGTGAAGGCTGCCCTGCAAGAAAGTTGTGACGAAGTCAAGCGAGTGGAGCTCGTAGTCACGCTGTGCTGCAACGTGCAGTAACATCCGAAGAGTGGCCATCTTCGGGGTGGGGGTGAAGGTATGGAAGAAGTCGACCCCCTGTCTCTGAGTAACGCCTTGTGCAACTTAACGCGCCTTGAAGGCAGGCGGTGGACCCGGCGGCCGCTTCACCATGAAAATCCTCAAGCCATCGACTTTGTTCGCCCCAGGAGGGGGAACTGCATCCATGGACTTCCAGGAAGAAATCTTTGCATCCATGGCTGTCTGCCACTGAGCGGAGTATTGACCCGAGATCGCCTCTGCGTAAGAGCGCGAGGTCGGGATGTCCAGTGCATCCGGGTCTTCCTTAGGGCAAAGTAGCATAAAAGCGAGATGAGGTACAGCAGTCGCGAGGCACTCGAGCTCAAACTGCATGTGGCTCCCTCTGGGTTTCTCACAGGTATTACTACACCCCCTCGTTCTCAAGGAACTTGGTGGGTGTCAGTCACCTCCACGACCTTGGAGTTGTCACTACTTTCCCACTGGACGAGTCAGTTACCTCCTGCACAGTCGGTGCCACTAGAGTGCCTCTGGCTACTTTCCACAGGGAGCCGGGCTCTGGTCTGTACTCACTACACACTGAGTCCCACCACACTGGGTCAGGTTAGGTCAGGTCAGGTCAGGTAGCTGCCGTGTCGTGCGATTGTCGGTCACTCACCCACCCGTCGGTCCACTTGCACCACCGTCTAGGTCACCCGTCGTTCCCATGTCTTAGTAGGATGGTACGTCACCGTCTGGTCTTAGGTCTCCCAAAGTCGCCTGCACCGCTTCCTCTCTTGCCTGCGCCGCCGTGCACTCCTTGCGTTGAGGGTCGGCAGTGCGCTTCCCCTCACTCCTTGTCGTTTTCCCCCAACCATGGCTCCCTTCCAGACCCTGCACTTGGATGCCTAGGGCCCCTCCCCCGTCCGTGGCCCACGTTAGGAGCGCTTCTTTCTGATTATGGTGGACGTCTACTCCCACTACACCACGGTTTTCCCCTTGCGACGGAAGGCCGACGTGCCTTCTGTCCTAGAGCCATGGCTAACAGCGAGGGGTGTCGCTCAGGCCCTTTGTAGGCTCCGCCTACACTCGGACCGTGGTGGTGAGTTTTCTTCCACTCGCCTGGAGACGTTCTGCCAAGGTCGGGAGATCATCCAGTCTTACACGCTACCAGACTCGCCGCAGCAGAACGGGGTAGCCGAGCGACGCATCGGCCTGGTCATGGAGGTTGCGTGAACCTCCATGTGCCATGTCGGTGCCCCCAAGTTCTTGTGGCCTTAGGCAGTCTGCTACGCCGCGCACCAGCTGAACCTGTGGCCTAGTGATGCACGGCCACGGGTGACGCCGGTCTCTCTTTGGACAGGTTCTCTGGGTGTAGCAGCTGACTACCGCGTATGAAGTTCCCTGTGTGAGAATAACGAACGAGAATGAATGAATCTCAGTCGGAGCGTCAGGACAGAGTAGAGGAGGAGTCACAGCCACAGCAGGAGAGAGTAGAGGAGGAGTCACGACTGCAGCAGCAGGTGCAGTTGCAACCTCAGCAGGAGAGAGTAGAGCAGGAGTCCCGCCCGTAGCAGCAGGTGCAGTTACGCCCGCAGCAAGAGAGGGTAGAGCAGGAGTTGTTGCAGCCACAGCAGGAGAGAACAGAGGAGGAGCCACAGGAGCAGCAGCGTGGCAGGTGCCTCAGCAGCAGTCGCCAGAGGAGGCGGAGCAGCAGCGACAGAGAGACCTGCCCGACTCAGCACCTGCATGCTTTGTTCGTGGTCCCCTGCCGTCCCCTCCTTTTCCCCTTGTCGAGTCCCTTTCCTCGTCCCAGTGGACTCGTCGTTCTCCCCTCAGTCGTACTGTGTCCCCAGAGCCTCGTCGATCCCGTTATCGTGCCGACGGCCCGTTTCACCTTGTTCTTCGCTCTCGTGTTCCACCTCCTCCTTTCCTTCCACAACCTCCTGAGTCGTCCCTCACTGTGTTTCACGACCCGTTGTCTGACTACTTCCGTGCCTCCCGTCCTGTTGTCTCCCGTGTTTTGTCCGCGTTGGCCACACACCCAACTGCCCTTCTGTCGTCTATCTCCACTCTTGTTGCTATGGTCAGTGCCTTTGCCTCTTCCCACCGCCTTGACTACGCCGCCCACCTGGTGAGTGGCACTGCTCGTTCTCCGTCCTCTGGGGTGCTCCTGTCTTTCCCTTGGAGGTCCTAGAGGACAGGCAGTTCGAGCTTGGTTTCCTAGCGGTCGCTGTTCCTCATCTCTGCGCCATGCTGCTTGCCCCTGAGGGGGATCCAGACGCCCTTGACATCCCGATCCCTCGCACTCATGCCGAGGCGGTCTCCGGACCCTGGGCTTTGTACTAGATAGTAGCTGAGGAGGCAGAGATGGCATCTTAAAGGTCCACAGGCACCTATGTGAACGCCATCCCACCAACTGGGGCGAACGTTGTCAGTGGCATGTGGCTCTACAAGGCGAAGCGGCCGCCCGGAGCACCACCGGTGTTCAAGGCGCGCTATGTGACAAGAGGCTTCAGTCACCAAGAGGGGGTAGACTTCTTTCAGACCTTCGCTCCCACCCCAAAGATGACCACTCTTCGGGTGTTGCTGCATATTGCAGCAAGCTCGACTACGGGTTGCACTCCTTGGACTTCTCCACTGCGTTCCTTCAGGGGAGCCTGCACGAGCAGATCTGGCTGCGTTGTCCGCCTGGCTTCACTGGCACTTTCCCTCCTGGGACCCAATGGCAGGTGCGTCGACTGGTGCACGACCTGCGCCAGGCTCCCCGCGAGTGGCACGACACGCTACGTACGACTCTTGCAGCGCTTGAATTCTTTCTGTCGTCTGCCGACCCGTCGTTGTTCGTCCGTCGTGGCTCGACCCCGTTCTTTGTTCTGGTCTACGTTGACGACTCGACACCTTGGCCTGCAGATCACCAGGGACAGGGTAGCTTGCACCATTACGCTGACGCTGTCGCATATGGTCGAGCAGATCCTCACAAGGTTTCGCCTCCCGTTCTACAAGGTACAGCCCACCCCTCTTGCTGTGGATCATAGGCTCACGGCTCCACCTTCGGACGAGCCATTCGAGTCTAGCGGTCCATATCCTGAGCTGGTGGGTTGTCTCATGTACCTGATGACCTGCACTCGCCCAGACCTAGCTTACCCTCTTAGCGTACTTGCGCGCTTTGTAGCGCCTGGGAGACACCGAACTTCCCATAGGTACGCTGCTAAGAGGGTGGCGAATTATGTGGCGAGTACATCGGGCATGGGACTTGTCCTTGTTGAATTCATAGGAGCCATTGCTAGGGTGTGATAGCTAGGCAAGTGTCGAGAGAGTTGAGAGAGCAAGGAAGAGTGGTGCACTAAGAGAAAAAGGTACAAGATATAGGAGCGAGAGATGGGAAAGGGTGCACCACCTACAGGGACTAAAACAGTAACTACACTATAGCTATAACTATATGCAGTTATACATAAATATATAAATAATATAATATGACACACCCCCTAACTGCATGCAGGAATAGCCATGTGCAGAACACCCCCTGAAGGGGTACACCCTGCGCAGCGGAAGAAGGAGAGGGCAAATGAGGAGGAGGCGGGTGATGCTGCAGCTGGACTCACAGCACCCCCTCAACCTCCCCCCGCACAGCAGCAGCAGTGAGGAGATAGAGGAGGAGGCGTGGCGACATTTGCGGCAGTTGTGTCACCCACCACCCACATCCCCTGAGCCTCCCCACCACTTCACACTCCCCCCCATAGCAGCAGGTGCGGCTAGGAGAGAGAGGAGGGAGGCTGGCACTGTAGGTGCAACCTCCCCCTCACACCCTCCCCTCCCCTCCCCTCCCACCCAAACTGCTGCACGTGCAGCAGGGAGAGGGAGGAGAAGGGGGGGGTGGGTAGGGGCTGTGCATGGGGCCGCAGATGCGCGTGCAGAGGGCAGCAGGGCGCACGGGCCGCACAGGGCAGCAGGGAAGAAGGGCGCGCGGGGCGCGCAGGACAACAGGGCGCGCGTGGAGCGCAGTGCTGCAAGGCGCGCGGGGCGCACATGGCAGCAGGGCAGCAGGGCACGCAAGGCGCACAAGGCCGCAGGGCGCGGGGCGCGCAGGACAGCAGGGCGTGCGTGGCGCGCAGGGCTGCAGGGCGCGCGGGGCGCGCAGGGCAGCAGGACAGCAGGGCGCGCGGGGCGCGCAGGACAGCAGGGCGCGCGGGGCGTGCAGGGCTGCAGGGCGCACGGGGCGCACAGGGCAGCAGGGCAGCAGGGCGCGCGGGGCGCACAAGGCTGCAGGACAGCAGGGCGCGCGGGGCGCACAGGGCTGCAGGGCGCGCGGGACGTACAGGGAAGCAGGGCAGCAGGGCACGCGGGGCGCACAGGGCTGCAGGGCACGCGGGGCGAACAGGGCTGCAGGGCAGCAGGGCGCGCGGGGCGCACAGGGCTGCAGGGCACGCGGGGCGCGCAGGACAGCAGGGTGCGCGTGGCGCGCAGGGCTGCAGGGCGCGCAGGGCGCACAAGGCAGCAGGACAGCAGGGCGCGCGGGGCGCGCTGGGCTGCAGGGCGCACGGGGCGCACAGGGCAGCAGGGCACGCGGGGCGCACAGGGCTGTAGGGCAGCAGGGCGCGCGGGGCGAACAGGGCTGCAGGGCAGCAGGGCGTGCGGGGCGCACAGGGCTGCAGGGCGCGTGGGGCGCGCAGGACAGCAGGGCGCACGTGGCGCGCAGGGCTGCAGGGCGCGCAGGGCACGCAAGGCAGCAGGACAGCAGGGCGCGTGGGGCGCGCAGGGCTGCAGGGCGCACGGGGCACACAGGGCAGCAGGGCACGCGGGGCGCACAGGGCTGCAGGGCAGCAAGGCGCGCGGGGCGCACAGGGCTGCAGCGCGCGTGGGGCGCGCAGGACAGCAGGGCGCGCGTGGCACGCAGGGCTGCAGGGCGCGCACGGCAGCAGGACAGCAGGGTGCGCGGGGCGCACAGGGCAGCAGGGCAGCAGGGCAGCAAGGCAGCAGGGCGCGCGGGGCGCACAGGGCTGCAGATCCCCTCCCTCCACTGCTGCACCCGTAGCAGAGGAGGAGAAGGGGGGGGGGGGGGGGGGGGGGGGGGGCGGGGGGGGGCTGGTGCTGCAGATCCCTTCCTGCCACCCCTTGAACCTCCAAGATCCCGCCACCCCCATACCCCCCCCCCCCACTGCTGCACCCGCAGCAGGGGGATGGAGGAGAAAAGGGGGGGGGGGGGGGGGAGAGCTAGACTATGGGGGAATGCACGGTTGTGAGGGTGATCGTAGCGTTCCTTGCATGCTTGCTTGTGTTCTCTCTACGCACACATTCACGAGGAGAATCGGCAAGAGTTTCAGTAGCAAAAGTCCACAACAATGATAGCAACAATCATTGGCAAGCATGACTACATCAGGTGCAAGTTTCCCTAGCATGCAAGCAGGTCGACCTCCAGCGCAGCATGGTCGACCGCGTTCCAGCGCTGCAAAGTCTGCACCGCTCTAGCGCTGCAGAAGCGCGGCTTGCCAACGTTGCAAGTCGACGGCGTGCCAACGCTGCAGCAAGGCGGCTGCACAACGTTGCACCCGCAGGACATCAGTGCACCTGCTTCGCAGGTGTTCGCAATTGGTTGGCGTGCTGTGCCCCGTCATGTGTACAACGCAGACGCCAAGCCGACCACGTGCCAACGACTGCGGCTGATCAGCCACGTTGACCTCGGGATACCACCTCCGAGGTCGGCTTCGCGAGAACCACCTGGGCGACTATCGCGCACCTCCGCAGATCCCCGTCGCCTGGGAAACTTGGTCGACCGGGCAACCACGCCGACCAAGTGCTGCTCTCGTGCCCGTTGACTGTCCAGGTCGACGACCACCTTCTGCTGACTTCACGAAGTCGGCCACTCCCCCAGGTCGACCACTTCTGGTCGGCCAGGTCTTCTGGTCGCCGACTGCACCCAGCCGGCTTCCCCAGGTCAGCGCCACCAAGTCGGTGCCCTCCAGGTCGGCGCCACCAAATCGGCGCCCTCCAAGTCGGCGCCACCAAGTCGGCGCCCTCCAGGTCGACCTAATCTGGTCGACCTCCCAAGGTAGGCGCCCTCCTAAGTCGGCGCCCCTCCCAGGTCGACGTGCCACCACGTCAACCACGGTTGAATTCGGCCATCGGCGCCCATCGTCGGCGGCTTCACAGTGGCCCCCGTGCAAGTCGACCAAGCCTGGCGATCTGCGCGCCCAAGTCGGCATTGCCCACTGCAGCAGGTCGGCTGCACCTCCCACATACCCGACCACGGAGTCGGCTCCGCTTTGCTTCTTTGCATCTTCGCTCGCTCTGCTCTCAACCACTCAGTCATCCCCCTAGTTCTCTCCAACCCCTCGACAGAGTCTGTTCAAAACTATTCAGTGCTGCCTACAGTTCCTCTTCCCTCCTCTTTTCCCTCAGCGCCACCTCTCTCGCCTTCCCTGCCTCCTCTTTTCTCACTCGCTCTGCCATTTCCCTTAGTCTCTCCTGTGCCTCTGCTGCATCCCTTTCATACTCTTCCACTGCTCCCTTTAGCTCCTCCTCCACCTTCTCCGCCCTTTCTGCTGCCTCCCTCGCTCGCCTAGCCTCCTTTTCAACCTTCACTTCTTTCTCTCTCACCCTCTTCTCCAACTCACCAACTCTCTCCCTCAACTCACCCACACTTGCTTAATCTTGCTTATTTAGACCTTATCTTATTGCTTTGTGCTTGTTTTCCTAGTTTCGTTGATTTACTATGGATATTATAGCTATAGGCACCGAAATAGGTAGTGTGCACCAAATTGTGTACCATTTAGGTTATTCACCGCGTAACTTTGCGTAGCGTGTATCCGCCGAATTGATTCTACCGAATTCGGGAAGGTCTTGTTCCAGTTGCTTCGTGAACCTAGGAACCTTCTCGTAACTGTCAGAACATTATAGTGCTTACATTTGTGTAGGCTACAGTGGGGTAGCCCATAAGGGGTACAACCCAATTAGGCTTAGTACCTGTACCCAACTCTTTCATAGTTCATTCATTCTCGTTGTTCTTTCTAACATGGTTTCAGAGCAGGTCCCTCCCTAGGACCGTTTTTTTTTTTTTGGGCCCACCACCTACTGCCCTGCTAGCCACCCTCGTGTGGCCCTCCTCTCGACTCTAGGCCCCAGCCCGTAGTCTCGCGCCCGTCGCCCCTAGGCCCCGGCCCCGTCGCCCGTTGCTCGCGCCCGAGGCACCTAGGCCCCGGTCCTGGCCCGTCGCCCGTCGCGCGTAGCCCCTAGGCCCGTCGACCTTAGGCTCCGCCCCCCCGGCCCGTCGCTCGCGCCCGTCGCTCCCCTAGCCTCGGCCCCGTCGCCCGTCCCTCGAGCCCGCCGCTCCTAGGCCCCGGTTCCGGCCCGTCGCCCGTCGTGCAACGCCCCTAGGCCCGTCGGCCCCGTCGCCCGTCGCTCCCCTAGGCCCGGCCCCGTCGCCCCGTCGAGCAACGACCCTTGGCCCCGTCGACCGCGTCGCCCGTCGCTTCCCTAGGCACGGCCCTACGCCCCGCGCCCCCCCGTCGACCAAGGCCTCTCGGCCCCTTCGTACCTGGCCCTGTGGCCCGACGCCCCTAGGCCCCCGGCCCCTCACCCCCCCCCCTTTGTACCTGGCCCCTCGGCCCCATCCCTCGCGCACGACGCCTCTAGGCCCCCGGCCCCTCAGCCCCTTCAGTCCTGGCCCCGCGGCCCGACGCCCCTAGGCCCCCGGCCCCTCGGCCCGACGCCCCTAGGCACCCGGCCCCTCGGCCCCATCGTTTCTGGCCCCGCGGCCCGACGCCCCAATGCCCCCAGCCCCTCGGCCCCTTCTCTCCAGGCCCCGCGGCCCGACACCCCTAGGCCCCCGGCCCCTCGGCCCCTTCGTCCCTGGCCCGGCGGCCCGTCGCCCCTAGGCCCCCCGGCCCGTCGCCCCCCCCCCCCCCCCCCCCACCCTTCGTTCCTTGCCCCACGGCCCAACGCCACTAGGCCCCCGGCCCCTCGGCCCCTCTGCTGCTACTGCTAATGCTACTACTGCTGCTACTACTGCTACTGCTGCTACAACTGCTGCTACTGCTACTACTGCTACTGCTGCTCCTGCGAGCTGCGCCATTATGGCTTTGCTTCGAGTTCTCGCGTTTGATCATGAGGGCAGACCGGTTCAGTTTGACACGTGACTCGACGACCTGCAGCTGTACCTACTGAGCGATTCTAAGGACAGTGTGTCGCTGTTTGACCTCGCGTCAGGTGCCGCTACCGCCCCTCCTTCCACAGCTGACAGTGCGACTCGCTCACAGTGGCTTACTCGCGACGCTGCTGCCCGCTTAGCTATTCGCAACCACCTGCCGTTAGTCGGATGCGCTCACTTCGGATAGCACAGGACAGCACAGGCCCTGTATGACGCTGTAGTTGCTCGCTACTCCTCGCCTGCCACTGCTGCTCTAGGCCCACTGCTACTGCCCTACCTGTTCCCCGAGTTGTCGGCTTTTGCCACAGTAGAGGACCTGATTTCCCACCTGCGCACTAGCGATGCTCACTACCGCGCTACCGTCCCTGCTGAGTTCCTTTGACAGGAACCAGCCCCCGATGCTCATCACCCTCTACTTCATAGTGACTCGCCTCCTTGACTCTCTTCACTATGTCAGGGACCAATTTCTCTCCCTTGACCCCACCTCCCTCACTGTTGACCTCCTCGAGCAGCATCTCCTCCTAGCTGAGACTAGTGCAGTTGCTGTAGGTGCTGCTCGTGGCACTCCACGCCCGCCCTTCTTTGAGAGGTGCTCCCCCTCCCCCCTTGCCCCCTCATACGCCTCTGCTGCTGCTGCAGATGTCTCTGTTGCTGAGGACGTCGGGGCTGCTTCTGCTAGTGCGAAGCGCCGCAGCAGCAAGGGCAAGGGTGGCAGGGGTGGTGGAGGTGGCAGCGGTGGTGGTGGAGGTGGCAGCGGGAGTGGTGGTGGGGGCAGTAGTGGAGGTGGTGAAGGCAGTGGAGGCGGTGGCGGCGGTGGGACTGGTGGCGGGAGTGGGGGCTCTGGTGGCGGCGGTGGAGGCAGCGGTGGGAGTGGCGGCGGTGGAGGCGGTGGGACTGGTGGCGGTAGGACTGGACCTCGACGTGGAGGCCCTGGTGGTGGCCAGCGGCAGCAGCAGCAGCGTCGGAGCGAGACCCAGTCGCCCCAGCAGCTCCGTGAGTGGTCGTTTTAGCGTGGGACGTCTTGGGGTAGTGTTAGCTGCCCGTATGTCATTCGCACGGGTGACCGTAATGGTCAGACATGCAGGATGCTTCACACTCAGCACCGCTGCTTCTCCCGCCTCGATGACGCCTGGCGTGCTGAGTTTGGTGACAAGGTCAAGCGCGCTCGCTGGGCAGATTTGCTTAGGTCTGGTGTTGCTATCTTTGACCTAGACTTTGATGTTATCCTTTCTGCTATGTATGCGTTGTCTGCTAGTGCTGAGGGTGACTGTTACCGGTGTGTGCCACCTGACCCAGGTATAGCGGCTGCTGCTCTAGGTACTAGTGAGTCTGGTACTCTCCCTGGTACTGCGCCTGCTGAGGCCTTGCACACCTTCACATTAGACTAAGGTGCCTCGCCCTGTTTCTTTCGTGACAGCACCACCCTCACTCCTCTCCCTGCACTTGTCCCGGTCAGACTGGCTGACCCCTCCAGGGGCCCGGTTGTTGCCCGTTCCTCCACTGTCCTCCCGTGTCCGACGGTTCCGTCCGGCTCACTGTCAGGTCTTCACCTCCCCTCGTTCTCTACGAACTTGGTGAGTACAACTGCTCTCCAGGATGCGATGGTCACTACCACCACTCCTGGGGGTCAGCGTGTGTCGATCTGCACATGCACACGGACGGGGCGTCACCTGGCCACGTTCACTCGTCGGCCAGGGTCGAGTCTGTACACACTCGCTACCGAGCCTCCTCAGGTAGCTGCGTCTGCTCAGGTGTCTGCGTCAGGTCAGGTAGCCGCCTCTTGCTCGTGTCGCCTCCTGTCGCACCAGACTCTTCTGTGGCACCACCGCCTGGGTCACCCCTCCCTGCCACGCCTTCGTGGCATGCACTCCCGCCTCCTTGTCTCTGGT